TAAAAACATAAGAGGACAAGAAGCAGTATAAATTAAAAACAAGAATGGTTTGACTTGAAAAATAAATCAGTAGCTGTTGGGTGAGAAAAGGTGCTAGCATATATTATTAAAATTTTTCTTTATTGAAAATATATTTGAAATACTCAAATCAAAAGGATCAAAACCAAATTTGAAAGGTCTGGTTTCACATTTAACTTTATTTTGTTTTACACTGAAATAATAATAATAAAATTATTTTAATCAGCGTGTCCCCAACATGTCGTGTCCTATTTTTAGAAACCACTTGTCGAAGTGTCATTGTCACGTCAGCGTAGGAAGTAGGTTTTCAACTCAATTGAATTTTACTTATAAAAATCTAGAAGCGCACTTGTGACTGAAAACTAAGTAGCTTGTCAAAAGAAACTAAAGAAAATCAAGAACCCAAAAATACTACAACAATGATGCCATAAAAGACCTGTAAAGTTCAATGCATTTATGCCACCTACACTATTAGTGCAAACATACACCTCTATATAAAGTAAAATATCTTACTTCAAAGTTACTACTCTTTCCACACTTGAATTAACAGAGGGCCTTTTAATTTGAATCGAATTGCCATGTCCTGTTGAAATGAGGATGTGAGACAATCTCTAGCTTCATTGCATTATCTGGTATTAATATTAACTTGGTATCAAGAAAACAATTTTATTCCCATAGTATTCATTGTGAAAGAAAACCTTCCTCGGACTTCACATTTGCAAACAAATACTATGCTAAGCCTAAATGTCACATTCCCAATGTTAGAGAATCTAAGATTATCCACTTTGACGACTTCATGAGTCAATATTTCCTCTATTTCTTTTAAGCACCTGAGCCTCCAAAAAAATATTTTCGTCTTGGCAATAAAAGTTACTAGCTCACACATAACTAAATTTTAAAAGGAAGGTTACAAACACGAAAACAAATCAAACCTTTGCCTCACTTTCACATTTTGAGCCAATCTTGCAATATCTAACAAAGAACATAAAATGCAATAGTTAATTCATGGAAAGGATAGATAAAAAGAATAGAGAAATCAATGAAATCAGAGTTATAGGTGTGTCTTATCCTATAACATATTAATGTAACAATAACATTAACACATCAAACCAACGTGATCATCAACTAGACAACTTGAAATACACAAACATCTGACTTTTTAAAATAAGGTAATTAAGTTACAAGTGACAATTTATTCGGATGCAGGAAATGCAAGATAAAAAGAATCATACACAACTTAATTACTCTAAGAAATGATTGAATTTTAGAATGTTACAAATCGCGGCAAAAACACATATAAACAAATTCCGAAAAGGGCATACAAGATTCATAAATAAAGTGAAGTTCTTTAAAGATTCAATATAATTCAGAAAACGAAAAACCAAAGAGAGAAACTGTAAAATTGACCCATAAATATATAAAGGGATGGAAGAGTAAAATTACAATTGGACATATGGAGCTTGATGAGCTTGGAATCTTCAAGAGTGATGCCCCTCTCCTTGTCCAGTGGATGCACCACATCCACTTCTTCTGGGTCCAGAAGCTGTTTGCTAAAATTTTACAAACACAAACACAAACAGATAAAATTATTCGTATAAATGAAGAAAGGCTGTATCTTTCTCGGGCCCTATCCTATTCTATCAACACGAACAAATTTCATAGTACGTGAGAAGAGAATTTAGTCCGATCAAAATTCTAGGCCTGTAACTAAACGAATTTACCCAAAAAAA